TACATAAATATTGTTGCTTTCTAAGCTAAGCCGCTTTTTCTTTTATGTATTCAGTTTTCACAAATATTATATTGTAATTTTCAATTATTCTCAGATATAGACTTTGGGATTGTAGCTGATGTTTAGTTATGTTAGGTCATTATAAGAGTGAAATAAAAAAATCTTGAAGTACTCTTCTGTCTACTTAGTTATTCAAGATACAAATTGGCTGTCTATTATGACATCGAAAAATAAAAAAGAGAAACGCACTTTTTCAAGGAAATGCGATCGACATAACATAAATATTATTAATTTCGTCGCGATCGTAAAAATACTACGGCCTGTGTACATTACTGTATACAAGTCTATTCCCCAGTGTATTCCTTGAAGGAACTCGTGAGTTCTTCATATAAATGGAAAACGTTACGTTGCCGAATAGCAGAGTCAATCAATCGCGCCACCCGCCTGTGTAGCGGCAAATCGAAAAATCTCCAAAATGTCTTTGATTTAGTCAACACGAATGAATAAGTCATCGTAAACACAACCCGTACTACGTACCTATATAATGGACTCTGATTTAATAGGAATTAAAAATCTAGTTATGTTTGTGAAAGCAGGTATATTACGTTTGTTTTTGTTATAGGAATATTGAATACTAGCTATTGCTTGTGACTTCGTCCGCGTAGAATGATTCCTGTTTTATCCCATAGGAGAATTTAATGGGGATAAAAAGTATCCTATTACCTAAGTCAGCCCATACCCTGACTGTTTACTAAATTATATCAAAATCCGTTCAGTAGTTGCAGCTTTGCGTAGCTTTGACGGACAATATCCAAACTTTTACGTTTATAATATTTGTGTGATATTATAGTTGTCACTATTATAACCTTCAGAAACATGAAGTGCAATTACAATACATTTATCAAGGTGATGTATAATGTATTGATTAAGTACAAACTCAAATGAAACTTAATTCAGGAAAAGTATGAACTAAATACAGAAAATAAAGCTATTTGTGGCAAATGTTTCAGTAGATTCAGACCCTTATGAACTATGGTTGAATTTGAAATCGTTTGTAAATAGTTACAATAGAATGTTTTTTAAGTTCGAAAACCATCACACTGATACTTAATATGCAAACCACGTCATTTAATACTATTACAAGGTAATAATTTAACCGGCCACAAAATACCTTCTACATTGAATAATTTTATAAAGAGAGATCTCAAACTGTTGGTTATCTAGAAATAACACTCCAGGGACCAAGGAAAACTGAAAGCCAATGGTCATTAATTCTGGCTACGGTACAAATGTGCTGTCACCCCTACGTGCATAATTAAAATTTATTACCGGCTTAGCGTTAAAGAAAAATATCAGGAATGTCATTTAGTAATGGAAATATAAGAATTCATTTCTTTTGATTATACTAGTTTGGGTAGAAACTATGTTAGATTAATATTAAGACTCCTTTCAGGACGCTATCCGTCGGCGAAGTTTGCATTTCTTATGAAAAAGACCGATTCTCCTAACTGTACACTTTGTGGTCAAATCGAAGATGTCCAACATTTGCTGATGGAGTGTGCTCGGAACGGAGTAGAACGTGAGATATTCGTGAAGGATTGTAAAATAAATAAATTTGATGTAGGCATTATACAATTCATTTTATCTATACCATCTTCAGCGATTATGAGAAAGTTGTGCTATTAGATTTTGGTCCTCCACGAATAACAATTAATCAAGTGATTCTCTAGAGTACCTAAGGAAAATATAATGGTCAAGTAATGTAAAGGGTACGATAGGGCTAACATATATGTGATAAAAACCCCTAAATAGTTTGTTAGAATAAAAAAATATTATATAAGAATTCATTTACTGGTTGCTGTATTTGTTTGCGGTACACCATCCCAGTTAATTAGCGGATAATTTAATTTTGTTTTAATTTACAGAGTACTATTTGCACGGATAGATTGTTCATATTCATCCGCGTAAAAATTTGGTAATACGCTAATTTAAATCAGATAGATAATTAAAACAGATAAATGATAGTGTGCTACTAAACTAAATGAACCAATGGAAATGCTATCCTTAAAACGCGCACGTTAATCGACATAAAACATTAACTACTATGAGGCAGACATTCAACCTTATTAAAAGGAGGATTCTGAAGGAGCTAACTATGGAGGTCTAGTGACAAGTGAATTGTAAACACGGTCAAATGTCCGCAGCTGTATAGAGGAAAGGCTCGTTTTTGACCTCTTAAAACATTATATGTAAAGTAAATTGGGTATTTCGTACTTTAATATAAATATAAAAACAACCTCTTCCTGTTGAATGTTAAAAATATTAAGTACACTTTAACGCTGTTTAACATTGTGTGGACAAAATGTTCCTGGAAACTCTGAACAATAGTTCCCTCACAACTTTATAATTACATTCTTTTATGTAGCCTGTGTATTGTTCAAAGCAAAAACATTTCAACAATGAATATGTCATGTCACTTACAACCACATCAGAATTCTGCGTACAATCAACTCGTAATTAATGCAAAAGGATAAACTCATACACCCTTGTTTTTCGGACCCTCGCTTACTTTAGGAAAAGGGAAAATTAACTGACATTAACACGGAATAGTACTTACTCAATAACTGGGCTGGTCAGTTTCATTTTATTCAATAGAGAAGGTAATTACATAGGTAGGTATATTATTTTGGGTACGTAAAGCCGAGCGACCGCGCACCGCAGTGTTAAATAGCCTAAATTATTCGTTACTATAATGATCGCCAATCAAGGATGAACGCGGAAAATTACGACACGTTAAGATTTAATAGCGTTTGATCCTAGTGTGTATGCACATAACGCTCAAAATCGTATTTTAATTTAATGAAATCGTCGTAGTTTTATCATCGCACTACAGATTTCGGCAAAGCATAAACTACCTCCACGGAACGTGTATGTCGTAAATGTTCGTTTTATGATTATGTCGGAGATTAAGAATAAGGGAGGAGGGTTGCAACGGCTCCCTCTATCCAATAACATACTGCAAACTCTAGTCAGTGGTGTTTATGACACTATTTCCTCGTGACTCATAACCGACAGCCATAATATTCTTTTTGACTAACGTGAATGACACCCAGTTGATGTATAAAAATTCCTTCAAGTTTTAATCGTTTTTTTTTTGTTATAATGCGTTACGACAACATACCAAAACTGTATATCATAAATATCGTATTCTCTCTGAATAACTTGAAATAAATTCGAGTTGAATTTTTTATTGAGTTAAGCAACCGACGCGCAGGAACGCTTTTTGACGTCAGACTCATTAGTGTAGTCAGACAATTCAAAACAAAGTAGGTAATTAATCTACATTAGTTTAATAATGGAGATGGACAAGAGAGCAACCCTTTATTCATTTTCCAAGCGGTTTATTTGCAACATCTAGTGTAATTGAGGGCTAACATCGAGAGTAAATCGTCCTATTTCACTTGTCCGCTGAAATCGCGAGATTTTCAACGAAGTTTAAATTATTTTGTTGCGTCTGTGAAGCCAGCGAAAAGTTCGTACATACATACATTAAGTATTTCGTTTGTTTGAATTTTACGCTTTAGAGGTTACGAGAGTGGCTATAACCAAGACTAAGCAAGTACGTATACTGTGCTTTGTTCAAAATACCTATTACTTTATTCGATTTTATAGCGTTCGTGTCGTCAGCAGTGGAACAGTTAACAGCAAAAGAACAAGATAGATACGTGTTAACTCCTAATCAATTATTTCATCAGTTTCCATCGGGTAGAATGGCAAGCGTCAATTCAGCTGGTTTATACATACCATCCTAAGAACTTGAATATTTAATGAAAATACACAACTCGTTATACAAAATTGCTCTAAGAGACACTGGAATGAAGATATAATTCTGATAATTTGTCTAGTTATGCCAGAGTTAAATTGATAACATTAGTAAGAAAATTACACCACCTGAGACCAACCAACCAAAGTGAACGCAACTAGAATCGAGTTACAAAAATGGTTTACTTTAAAAGGCGGCATGTATATACACGTCGACTAAATTCTTGGAAATTTATTTTCCTAAAACGACACGTCAGTTCAACAAAAACACTGAGATTTTCTTGAGTTGGCAAACATAGCTTTAATATATATTTCAAATGGAATTTCTTCAGGTAAAAGCGAAGGAAGGAAGTAACTGTACAATTTATACTTAACTAGCTTTGTGTCCGCAAAGAAATTTATTTTCGGCAATTATTGTTTTGGTTATGATAATTTTATCGCCACGTAAACGGTTAGCAGTTTTAGGTAATATGATAACATTTTTGTTTTTCTTTGTGTAAGTATAAAAAGCAGCCTGTTGAGAAAAGAAACAGATTCTAGATTTAGTAATCCGCGGATCAAAAGAGTCTTTTAGTTTTGTTTCAAGTACTCAATCGCATGATCGCTTCGTACAGAGCAACTGAGCAAATAAGCATACCACAAAACTCCGCGAATTAAAAAATTCTATGACACTTTCCCATAAGTGTCTACAAATAAATAAAAACCAAGTCTTATCGAATATACTGCCATAACGAAACTAATCAACGGACGACGACCCAAAACTCACATTTTTTCTCTACTAGAGTACAAGTAACGCCTGAAGCTACTACTGTCGTTGAAAGATAAAACAAACGTCGGGTTCTCATGTAAGAATGTTCAGGGTAATATGATACAGGACGCTATCGATGTCGCCTCCAGCTATTTTGAAGCAAACTTTTCTTGTACAAATTGTCTAAAACAGATTTGTTAGTAGTCGTTTTATTTGCTTTACTAATTGCGTTTGACGCTTTTAATGGTAATGAGGTTACGTTTTAGCATAATGGAATGTGTGTCTTTATACAAATGCTATGTCTAACGGACTAGACTATACGTTCACTAATTTAACAATAAATTGTCTTTTACGCCTAAACAATTTGTGAAAGGTGTGAATTTATTATTTAATGGAATACACAGGTTTCATTTTACCATTTGTAGTGTTTGTAGAATTATATGGTTCTGTCGTCTCATGCGTACACGCCGCGCGCTATAGTATAGTGGGGGAGCGGGGCATACCCCCTCCCTCACTCACTTTGCTTGGAACCACGAAGCTGGACGGACGCGCGTGCGGCGAGTTAGGCAGTGAGCCGATATCAACCAAAGTGCACAAACAGTACATTTGGCGACGAGTATTGTAAGTACTGTGTTTTTGTTCTGATTGAAAAATTGCAAAATTGTTAACGTTTATTTTTCTAGTAAGGAAAGATTAGAAATAAAACCCATTATTAGTGTACAAGTTCATAATAATTTAACGTTGGTTATTTACTGCAACAAAACTTTGGTTTGTCGTCGTGGATAATTAACCTTTGCGCGAGGAAGGACATGAGTTAAATATTTATAATATTCGTTGATGATAATGCATAGCTTGGTCATTTTTATTTATATAAACGTGGGTAGTATCATATCTATAGTTTTAAACATTTTTATTTTATCATGGGACAAGATCATGTTAAAACGTAAAAGGAAATTGTCACGTAACTATGTAAACAATACCATCTAGCATTTACATTTTGTAGTATATACAAACATTATTCGAATTACATTTTAACAAATATAGTGCTCAATGGTAGTTGTGTATAATGCAGTATACCAATAATAAACATACAGTTAATTATTTACTCTTTGAGTACCGTCATTATGGACGCGGAGGAGCAGTGGGTTGCGGTCACCGGTGGCCGCGCGGTGTTTGTTTAATTAGAATATTATAAATCTGTAGTTATTCTATCTACCCACTAGCCTATCAGGTTCGAGTTAAATGTCTGTTGATTTATGGCTTATATAACAATTTAGCAGCCTTATATTATTGCATTATGTTTCCATTGTGGGTATTTATTATTTGAAATATGTTTTTTCGTAATTAGTTAAATACAAAGTATCTATTGTCGGTCGCTTAGCCCTTTGAGTGCCGTCATTGTGGACGCAGTTGGGGAGCAGTGGGTCGCCGGTGTCCTCGCGGTGTTTGACAGTTTAAAATTTGAAAATATGATTGTTGTATTTAATTGTAGAACAAAACGGATGATGCCGTCATGTTTACATATTTTGAGCGATAGGGTGTTGATAAATGGGTTGAATTACTTTATAAATTACGGTTACATGGCGTACATTGGGAAGTTAGTCAGAACGGATGATGCCCGTTCACGACTAGAAGTGTTATGATCAGTTATGATTGAAGCTTTCATAAAGGTTAGTCAGAACGAATGACGCCCGTTCATGACTAGGTAGAAGTATTATGATGAACTATGTTGGTCAGAACGTATGATGCCGTTCATGACTAAAAGTATTATGATGGATATTGTAGGTCAGAACGGATGACGCCCGTTCATGACCAGAAGTATTACGATAATTGATGACGGAAGCTTTCATAAACGTGTTTTACGAAGCCATAGAACGGATGGTGCCCGTTTTGTGACCTATTTCGTTATTTACAGGTAACAATGGCAAACCTATCGTTAGAAAAATTTGAATGCGAGGGTGAGGTGACATCGGTGTGCGTAAGATGGGAACGATGGAAAAGAAGCTTGTACGTATACCTAGAAGCTGCAAATGTTACTACACCAAGTCAGAAGCGAGCAAGTCTTTTACATTGGGGTGGGTCAGAATTACAAGAAATATTTTATAACATTCCTGACGAAGCCGCAACGAATACCTCAGAGGAAACTGAAACAGATGTTTTTAAAATGGCAATTAAGAAACTGGATGAGTATTTTGCACCCAAACAAAGTAAAAGATTTGAAAGGCACGTGTTTAGATTAATAAAGCAGGAAGAAAACGAGAAGTTTGAAAAATTCGTTGTCCGGTTGCGACAACAAGCTGCTAAATGCCAATTCGTGGATGTAGATGACCAGCTCCTGGATCAGATTACTGACAGATGCAGTTCAGAAGAATTAAGGAAGAAAATCTTAAAAAATGGAGATAAAATGACTCTTGAAGATGTTATAGCTGAAGCAAATGCGTTAGAAGTAATAAACAGACAATTAGAAGATTTTAGTCAAAAACAGAAAAGGAATCAAGACGTAAATCACGTGAAAGATAACAGTAAAAATAAAAATCAAAGAGGAAAAAGAGAATGTTTTCGATGTGGCGGGTGGAATCACTTAGCATACGATGAGAAATGTCCAGCAAGAGGAAAGAAGTGCACAAAATGTGGAAGAATCGGGCATTTCAAACTGCAGTGCAAGACAAACCCGCTAAAAAGGAAACTAGAAGAAGACGCAAAACAAACACGCAATAAAGATACAAAGAAATTCAAGAGACAAGATACGAACAACATAAACGAACAAAAAAATAGTAATTCAGATGAAGAAATTGATTATGTGTTTAACATGAACAACGATGATATTGTAATCTGTAAAATAGGAGGCGTAGAAGTCGACATGTTGATTGATTCCGGCTGCAAGTACAATTTGATTACAAGTAAATCTTGGGGTGTTATGAAGAGAAATAGGATAAAAGTAATTGAACAAACACAAAATCCAAGAAAAAGATTTTATGCTTATGGATCCGACTCTCCTCTAAAGTTGTTAGGAGCTTTTAAATCTTCAATAGAACTGGCAGGAAAAACTCAGCATTCAATTTTCTACGTAGTTGAAAATGGCACTAGAAATCTATTAGGAAAAGTGACAGCCTTGGCATTAGGAGTATTAAGGATTGGTGTAGCAGTAAATGAGATACGAAGTAAAGTATTCCCAAAATTCAAAAATGTTGTAATACACATTCCAATAGATGATAAAGTAAAACCGATTGCACAGCCTTATAGGCGTATACCAATTCCTCTAGAAGGCAAAGTTAATGCTAAAATAAATGAACTTCTTGAAAAAGACATAATTGAAAAAGTTGATGGTCATTCAGAATGGATATCACCTATAGTTCCCATATTGAAAGAGAACGGAGATATCCGCCTATGTATAGATATGCGACGAGCAAATTCAGCAATAAAACGCGAAAACCACCCGTTACCGACAATGGATCAGCTGCTACCGAAGATAAGAGATGCGGTCATTTTCAGTAAATTGGATATTTGTGATGCTTTCCACCAATTGGAACTTCATCCAGATTCTAGATCCATCACAACTTTCATCTCAGCCAAAGGTCTTTACCGGTACAAAAGGATGATGTTCGGTATTTCTTGTGCTCCGGAAATATTTCAGAAAACTCTTGAGCGTATTCTCTTAACTTGTAAAGGGGTTATTAACTTCATTGACGACATCTTAGTGTACGGAAAAAACCGAACAGAACATGATGCCAGACTTCAAAAAGTCACTGAAGTGTTAGAGGCCAATAATGTTATATTAAGGCATGAAAAATGTATTCTTAGTACAAACGAAGTAGAATTCTTAGGCCACAAACTTTCTAAACAGGGTATAAGACCATTAGATAAATACTTAAGTACAATTAAAAAATTTAGAGCTCCTACAACTGTTTCTGAATTACAAAGCTTTATGGGCTTGATAAATTACGTGGGCAAATGGATTCCCAACTTAGCTACAAAAACAGAACCGCTTAAACAATTGCTTCGTAATAAATTTGGCAGAAACACTGATATACGTGAGTTGTGGGGAGAAAGTCAGCAAGCTTCTTTTAACTCTTTAAAAGTTGACCTTGCTGACATATCTGACTTGGGCTATTATAACGTACAAGATAGAACACTTGTATTTGCCGATGCAAGTCCGGTTGCTATAGGTGCTGTTCTAGTACAGGAAAATGATTCTGGACCACGTGTTATTGCATTTGGAAACAAAACCCTTACCGATTGCGAACGCCGCTATTGTCAGACTGAAAAAGAGGCATTAGCACTGGTATGGGCGGTAGAACACTTTCACATGTTCCTTTACGGAAAAGAATTCAACTTGGTGACTGATCACAAGCCTCTGGAAGTGATATTCAGTCCAAAGTCAAAACCGTGTGCGAGAATCGAAAGATGGATGCTCCGGTTACAATCATACCAGTATAAGGTTATTTATCGCCCGGGAAAAAACAACATTGCTGATCCACTTTCTAGACTATGTAAACTCACCCCGGAAAATAGTGCCCCAAATGTCGATTATGTACAAAACATAATCGAGCATGTTAGACCCATAGCGGTGTCATTAAGCGATATTGAGCGTTGTTCTAATGAAGACCTAGAAATTCAAAAAGTTAAAGAAGGTGTTCATGAGCGTAAGTGGGATGCAGCTGTAAAATGTTACAAGCTGATTGAAAATGAACTTTGCTTTCACGAAGGAATTCTACTCAGAGGAACTAAAATCGTTATACCAAAAGTATTGCGAAACAGAGTACTATCAGCGGCGCATGAGGGACACCCAGGTATCGTGGCAATGAAAGCGAGACTTAGAACAAAAGTGTGGTGGCCTAGATACGACCAAGATGTGGAAAGGATGGTCAAATCATGTAAAGGATGCACACTCGTATCTGTACCTAATGCACCACACCCTTTGAAAAGAAGAGAATTGCCATCACATCCATGGGTTGACATTGCAATAGACCTTTTAGGGCCATTACCATCCAACGATTATCTTCTGGTAGTAGTCGATTATTACTCTAGATATCAAGAAATAAAGATTTGTCGAGATATATCCAGTAAGGAAATGATAAAACTGCTAAGGGAAGTTTTCAGTAGGCTCGGTTATCCAGTTTCTTTAATGGCAGATAACGGAAAACAGTTTGTTAGCGAACAATTTAAGTCATTTTGTAAGGAAAATGACATAAAATTATATCACTCTGTTCCGTACTGGCCGCAACAAAATGGAGAAGTCGAGCGCCAGAACAGAAGTATACTGAAACGACTACGAATATGCCAGGCTGAAAATAAAATTCACTGGAGAGAATCGTTAGTCGATTATCTGACTATGTACAACAATACCCCCCATACAGTCACAGGAAAAACACCAGCAGAGTTGTTCTTCCAGAGGAAAATCAGGGATAAAATACCTATGATCGATGACGTGGAGCATAGAAATGATGACATGGACTTACGAGACAAGGACAGAGAACAGAAGGAAAGAGGAAGAGAGTACACGGACAGAAGAAGGAAAGCACAAGATATTGACCTAGAACCAGGAGAGAAAGTATATATCAAAGATATGAATAAAGCAAATAAACTCAGTACAAATTATGAACCAACTCAATATACAGTTAAATCACGAACTGGAGGCGATGTTGAGGTAGAAAACGAGGAAACAGGACAACGTTTGAGACGAAATATAGTACACCTAAAAAAGGTAGAAGGAGAATGGAAAGTTATAAGAGAGGACGAAACAGAAGATCCAGAGAGAAAAGAAGAGGACTAGAAGAATTATAGTTTAAACAGTGAAGCAAAGAACTTGCTAACGAAGAATAAATTACTAAAATAGATTTTGATTTGATTTAGGTTACGCTTAAAATAAAGAACTAGGAAGCATGATGTTAGTTCATTTAATAAATTGTCATTAGAAAAGCGAATGAAGTTAGGAGCAGGAACAAGCAAAATGTTATGATGTTAATAACAAAGGTTAATTGGGAAGTGAAGGAAGTATTAAATTAGTTAGTACAAAGTGTTCCTTAAAACCAGAATATTGGAAAGATTATTGATGCTATTAACGTTATGCTGAATCGTAAACTTTAGTTGATTATGATAATTGAAAAGTAAATAGAAAAGGCAATGGGGCATCAAAATAGTTTTAAATTAAAAGAGTATATTACCTTTGTGATGTCAAGTAAAAAGGTAGAAGATTGTTATGATGCTCTAATAAAGATGTTACTAAATATAATAAAAGTTATTATTATATCTAAAACTCTCATTAAAATAAGGAAGAGATGTAGTGTTTGTAGAATTATATGGTTCTGTCGTCTCATGCGTACACGCCGCGCGCTATAGTATAGTGGGGGAGCGGGGCATACCCCCTCCCTCACTCACTTTGCTTGGAACCACGAAGCTGGACGGACGCGCGTGCGGCGAGTTAGGCAGTGAGCCGATATCAACCAAAGTGCACAAACAGTACACCATTGTACCATTTTTACCATTTTATAATGTATTAGATTGACGTATAAATATAAATAGTTTAACATATCATTACAAAGTCCGTTTGCAATGCAAAAAAAAACGAAAATATCAGTAGCAAAATCTTTGTCTACCCACAAGGCAGTTAAAAATCTTTATGTTTTACTTCGTAAACCTGATTTTTCATCTGTAGTAATATTATTTAATTAATTTATAATGGCGGCATCACTATCACTAGTCTAACTTATCCAGGCGCATCATGAAAGGTTTGAGCGACATGTTATAAGAGAAGTTTGTTCATAAATATTTTCCCAACAACAAAGTGAAGCGACATTTCTGACTCTATAGTGCAATGTTTCACTTCACCTAATAACTAGGAAAACTTAAGTATGCTTAACCTGTTGATTGATGCCATATTAATCTAAGAAAATTCTAGCTTCAAAAGTAAATAACTCAGCAGTTTTGAAGGGTTAGAGCTTTATAACAACCAATTTACTAATGATAAGGAATTTGTAAGCAGGAAAGTGTTATCAATATTCAATGGACTACCTCTGTCAATAATATTACATCCAAGGATGTTGCACAAAAGGCGGACGTAATGTCACTAATAATATTTGAAGCACAAAAATGTCAGTGGAATTATGTGTGCGTGTATTTGCAACACCGTAATGTACCTCTATAAAGCATAATGACAGGCCATGTTACGGGACAGATGCCCTTTGTGTCAATGTGTGTGTTTTCTGCGTGTAAATCTATAGTAGTCAGGTGCCACAGTCATTGTTCCAAGAGACTATGTACGCTTTTTTAACATTTTTGATTACATCTACGCGTAGTGTTGCGTTGTCTGATTTCATTACGATTATTATCATTTCTTTTTCGATCAGAACCACTTTTCATAAAACCTAAATAACAACAATAATTTCACAATAAATAACGAATATAATAGTTGTGCGGAAAGTGTAGGTCATTAAAATAAAAATAAACTCACCTATCGGGTCAGCAATAGGTACAGCTATATAATCGATTTCTCCTCTTTTTCACTCTGAGCTACACAGGGTGATAACGCGATGCTCCCGAAAAATGCCGACAAGATTTATTTTCATAAAAGTAAGGAATAAAATGTTTCTTTTATGGAATACATGTAATGATATTTGTAATCAACTGTTCAACGCTGATGTTGTTAAATTTGTTGAGCGAAAGCGTTCCCTTTACACCCTGTTTAGGTATACAGTTCGCTTGGGGTTTTAGATTATTATTCACAATTACTTAAATTATCTAATTACCTTATATTTACATATTTTATATTATGTACCTACATACCTATAACCTAGCAGCACGGCCGCTAGTTTCAGCTGAACTGAAAGACAGAGTTCACTATTGTAAATTTTCACTGCTACTCCTTAAGTCAACTTCAACCTTAAAATATATGGAATTAAAAAAGTATCAGTTAATATCCTTATAAATCAAATGAATGTCAAGAAAATTCAGTTCTATAAGTATTCAGTTCTATAAATTCAGTTCTATAAATTCAATACTATAATTGAATTTTTCGCAAATACTCACCAATTAATTAAACAATTACACTTACTCCAATCAATACAATATATAGAGGTAAATTAAAAGCCTGTACACAAGGAAACCGACATAGGCTGAACTATTGAGTAGCATGATGTAATTAGATAATCATATTATATTAGTTCCAGTTGCAATTAGAAGGCATTCCAACTTCCGTATAATTAGACATCAATCTCAGATTGTCTTGATATCACTTCTGAATAAATTGTATCCGTACCTAAGTACATAGTATTAAAGTGAGTGATTGGATTTGTTATATTGTTTGATTCTCGGACGACGTGATACAATAAGAAATGCATGTTGGTTTGTGACAATCCTAACTTATCTGCCAACTATAAACATAATTAAAAATCCAATAGTAACTGGATATAACCTAATAATAATATGCAAAAACAGATTATGGTATAAGTACTTATAAATTGTGATTGGAGCCTCCTTTAAAGAAAGCAAGCGTTAGGAGACTCTTTTACAACAAGACCTACATAATCAACTTCCATGAATACAAATATTGCTTATTCTTATTTAATTAGTCTAGTTTATTAACTAAAAAATTACTCTTACACAACACAAACAAGTCACTCAACGAAGTACCCGGCGAGCAAGTCTATTGGTTGTACCAAAAATAAGAACAAATTATGGCAAAAAAATGCTCACATTTGAAGGAGCACAGCTTTATAATAAAATACCTTCACGCATAAGAAACCTGCACTCATTCAACGCATTCAAAACTCAGCTTTACAAATACTTACTTCTTAATCAAATACCCGAAAAATGAATGTGTTGGATGGGACTTATTTGTTGTCATGTTTTGTCCAGATGTTGTCGAGCCATTTTTTTTTTTTTTTCGCCCGGGGAAAATGCCGTGCATACCCGGCCTCGCGGGGCCTTCGCGACCCGCCCTGCGCCAGCCCGGCATTACTCACGTGAATATACTGAAAAAAGCTCTACTAGTTTCGAACCACATAGGGGTTCTTCCTCATGAGCAGCGTGCGCGGTTGCGGTGATTTCGCGCAGTCGGCTGCGCGTCTTCGCCGCGACCGCAATTAACCATTCCAGCAATGGGTAATGATGATAATTATTAGGACATGCAATAAATACCACCGTGCTCTTTTTATAATGTATAATTTGTTATGTGTGTACATATTAATAAATTGATAATATAGTATGACAACAGAAAGTACATAATTATTGCAATTGGTATAGTAATTATGTTTAGAAATAGAGCCGCACAATTAAGTTTGTTTTTCATTGAATAGTGCTCCATTCACCCAAAGGTTGCCTGGTAGAGATCGCTATTAGTGATAAGGCCGCCTTTGTACCCTACTATTTTTTTTTTATGATAACGTTAATGTATATTCCATTTATTTAAGGTGTACAATAAAGGTTATTATTATTATTATTTATTATTAATAATTAATATTAGTAAGTAAGGGAAAGGCAGGCCTGTACTAGGAACATTCCTGTATCACAAGCGATAGTAGTTATAAAAATATATTAACGATAAGAAGATTATTTTTAGTATAAATATAATATTTAACACAATAGTCTTTACTAACAATAGTTGGTTGTAGGTTTCAATGTAGGTGTTGAAGAAGTGCCACAGGATACGAGAGAGTTTTTAACCATTTAGGCACTTAACATTTTCCTAAAGTCATAATTAATGAATTTATTTACGGGCAACCAACAAAGAATATACATCATAATACATGATAGGTTTTTGCATATTTTAATATTTGTAGTGTAGCCTTAAAAACATGCCACGACATTTTTTAAAACAAAGAACAGGATTATCAGCAAAAAGTGCACATATCCGAAAAGAGACCATCTTAATTGTCATATTTCAATACAAGTGAACGATACTGTAGATTTTAACTATAAGAGAATATCCTATGCAAGACAGTTTTCACCTTAGAAAGAGAGTAGGACATATCCATATCTATATTAGGTGAGCATGACAGGCGACTAAAATAATTATTCCTGCATTCTATTTATTGTGGAAAAATGGCCTAGGCTGAGGCTTAAAACCCTTACCTAAAAGCAACTGATACTGAGACATTCGAATCAGTTTGTACATTAGTTAGTATAGTTTGTACATTTATATTAATCTGGCTAAGTAACTACGGACACTCAATGTATACGTTTCTTAGTTTGTGCAGGAATAGGTGATCTAGGATCTTAAGGCGATAATCTAAACTCATTAGTTAATTTAAAGAATTGATTTACTGGTCATTTCACATTGATATATCAAATGCCTAAGGAATCTTTTCTGAATTGATTCTAAACGGCATTTTAGATCAGAATCAGAGATAATCAGCAGATTCTGGCTCAGCAGCCTGGCGATTTTAGATAACCCAAATTTAGTGCTATGCTTGAAATTAAGTGACACGGGTCTTTCAAGTAAATGAGGAATAACGTAGGCGCTTCCTATACGCTTCCCTGGGGGACGCCATACGACACCTTTGCTTCTTCACTGACAAACTGACCCACCCTAACACTCTGCTTCCTATTCAAGAGATAATCCTTCAACAGATTGAAAGGTGTACCTCGTATTGCGACGCGTTCCAGTTTGTCTACAAGTATGACAAAAATGGCGTCGACAGCTTGTCTTAAATCGAGGAATGCAGTTAAACATTTTTGACCTCTGTTAAGTTGTTCAGTAATCAATGTGCTTAGTTACTGCATCTTCGGTGAAAATACCTTAAAGGAAACCATAATATAGTACCTATATTAAATTGATAAGCTTTTCTATTAAAATAAATAAAATAAAATACATTTATTTCAGGTGATCATAACCCATATTATTACAATGTTAATCCGATAGGTAAAATATATTAATAAGTAAAGATACAATTGTTCTATTTAGGAAATTTATAAGGATATGTCATTATAACCATAAATGAAACAGAATGATATAATAATAAAATTAAAATTAAATAAATCAAATTAAAAGTAAATCAAAATTAAATCAAAATTAAATCAAAATTAAATCAAAATTAAATCAAAATTAAATCAAAATTAAATTAAAGATAAAGTTAATATAATCTCTTCATCCGACATTGCGGGTTGTGTCTTTCACAGCAATGACGTATGTAGGGACAGTCCACTCTACTTGCTATCATTGCCAGAGCGGTATTGGAGCTGGCCCGAACCGTGCGCACCAAGGCAGCACTTCTTTTGCGCATGTTACTGTTAAAACAATCGGTGTTCGCTGCTGCAAACATGCCCGATGCGCTACAGAAACGAGGCAACCCCAAAACCGCCCTAAACGCATTGTTAAATTGGACCCGAAGGGAACTATAGGACTTTTGTGAGTATTTTGCCCACAAGCTACACGTATACAAAGACGTGCAGTAGGCCCGGAAAAGACTAATCTTCACATCCGTGGAGCATCGAGCAAACCTGCGGGCCAACATGTT